CGGAAGCGAAGTCCGTCAGGACCAGCCCACTCGTGTACCTATCACGAAGGTGTTGTTCAAGCAAGAAAGCTTCAGCCTCCATCACATTCGCCGGCAGATCTCTACCACGAAAGCACTTCTGAGGAGACTGGAGCAAGCAATGTCTAGCTACTTTGCGGGTAAGAAGCACCGCCATCGATGCCGAGAACAACTTCGCATCAGTATTTGTCATGCTGAGGGGGCGCGTGCATGCAGGTGCCCGAAGCACCCCTTCCCCCACCTCCAGGTCCGTGATCTTTTTCGGAAGAAACACCATCAAACACCGTTTCATATCATTGGGGGTGCCAGCATGCGGGTCCCGAAACAAAGCTCGGTAGCATTCGTAGAGCACCTCGCCAGCAGCGCAGGCCCTCCAGGCCGAGTAAGGCATCCCATCCTTCCCAGGCATGCTATCCCTCCTCCCCTTCATCATCTTGCACCACTCGACCTCATTCATCATCCACTCGTGCTCAATCATGTAATTCGCATCTGCCTCCTCAGGCACATCAGGCAACTTCTGGATAAACTGCAACAGCTCGGGCCAGAGGGACTCATCGCCCGCGGTGTTCGCGAAGACAGAACTCCGATGGTCCTGAAGGGCTTGAGCGGCCTCCTCTTCGGTGCGGCTAGAAACGCCCGAGGGTGAAAGGGCCCCCTGGAGCCACGTCCGTCTCTTCGTCTTCCGCCAGAGTTCCTTCCGAGCAGCCAGCTTCCGCCGAGCATTCTCCTCGCCCTCGGCCTGGCGGGCTCCAGGGGGACGGGGCGTCGCAGAACTGCCCGTGGCTGACGGGTTGGCTTCCCTGTCCTGATTGAGCTCATTCTCAGCCTCGTCCAAGAGAAGGCCGTGGAGACCCTGAACGTGAAGACAGAGAGGCCCGCTCCGTGCATCACGGAGGCCGTCAGGAAAGTGTTGGGCAAGGGCAGGATAGGCAGCAATAGCGGCGTCGAAACGAACACTGTCGCCTGACCGCCATGCGCGCAAAGCCTGCATGGCACGATAGTGTTTGGCCTCTGTCGTATCAGCAGCCTTCAGATTGACAGTTCGTCTAACATCCTCGGCAACCTCGAACATCAACGATTTAATTTCCGCCAGACGGCCCCGCGGGTCAACGTCGGGAAGGGCGCGAATCGGGCCATCGAGCAGCTCACAAAATAAAGGGTGTTGGGTGATCCAGGGGGCCAGACGTTTCGGGGAATCTCGAGGCCGGAGGGTGCTGATCGAGACAGCAATCGGGACGCGGTCGGACACCGTATCCACCTTCAGGGGCCCGAGCGCCTCACAAACGATGGTGGGGTCCGCGACAGGGGCAGACGGAAGCGCGCTGTGCGCACGGTCCAGCCGAGCGGTATGAGTAGAAACACCATCCCTGACCTCCCTCCTCGCATCCTCACATTGGTAGAATTCAATCCAAGATCCGCAGAGACGATGGAAGAGAGCAGTATGGTTGTCATCGCCTGGCGACCAGCCGCTTCCGTCGGCTCGGAGTCGCCCATCAGATGAGAGAGCAAAATTCCAGTACCAACGAGAATCGTGAAACACTCCGCTGGGTTGGGTAACGCCCTCAGAATCGAACGAAGCGCATTGGAGTAGATCGTGGAAAGCTCATTGGCGTTAGGCATGTGCGCGTTGATGATGCACATATTCCCAAGACGCCCAGAGAGAAGAGCGCGGAGGATCCGACCATCGACGATAGGAGCGTGGGTAATAGTGGAGAAGAGCTTGGCAAAGGCAGGCTGGACACACGTGATGACCCCCCCCCCCCCCCCCCCCCCAACGCCGTAGAGTTGGGGAACAGAGAATGACCAATCTCGAAGGGCCGAAGCTCTCGCCGAAGCTCATGTATATCCACAATCTGTCCATGAGTTTCCTGGGCGCAAAAGACCGTGAGCTGCTTCGCGAGCTTCAGAAACCGAGCAAAGCGAGGGGCTGATGTCGTACTCCTGCTTCGAACAGCGGCAGGGGGAGCGGCAGTGCTCCAAGATCCAATCTTAATCTGAGAGGAGGGGAAGAATGGACGGGCCCTGAGATCAGTGGGGGACGCAGGCAAAACTTGACAAGAGCAGAGCAAAGGCGTGGCATCGTGGCTCGCAGCGCTCGGACACACTCCTGAAGGTGTCACCATGGCCGCACCCGCAGCCTGAGGCCAGCCTTCTTCAGCTCTAAAAAGGCTGCGAGGCATTCAGGTGGTCAATCCCCTCCTGCAGGCGCGGGAGGAGAGGGGGAATAATAGAGCTAAGTTCTGCAAACAGGTCGGGAAAAAAGGTGATGCCGACTTTCGGCGGCTCAGAGACATCATTCACAAATTCAAGGTGGCACAATTGAACAGGATCTTCAGCTGACCGAAAAACGTAAACATCTCCTCCAAGACCGTTAGAACCCATGTCTTTGCCAGTGTCCTTCATTGCGTCGGTCAGGGCACCACGAATTTTACCCATAGCCAAGCAGAGTAGACGTGTTCCTGGAGCCATGTCTCGCTTGACCCGCAACATGATCTGCTGCTGCGGGTAAACGGGGTCAGGGAAGGGAATCATGCCGTGGGTACTCATCATATTCATGAAGTCCGAGGCTTTCGTCGAGTCCTTGAAATCCAGAATAATCTTCTTCGTCATATCGTATGTGCGGACAGTTGGGCGTTCACGAGAGGGTGGGATACCTGCCGTCAAAACAAGGTCCGCAGCACGCAACAGGGAGGTTTGCATCATTTTTCGAAGGAAACCAACAATAATGACACGATGGGCACGCTCAAGTACTTCAGATTTTACATCATGCACCGTGCTAGGAACCTCACTTCGATGCTGAGTTTTGGCACTCGAGATCGGTTTGCTTTGAAGCTCGGTAATGGCTGCCTCTATCTTCTCCATCTTGAGCTCTACCGCCACGGAGACCGCCTCCTTAATGGAAGCAGCACTGGCAACTTCGATGTTCGAGATGCGCGAGTTGAGCAGGTGAACGTTCTTGTCAGTAGTCGAGATAGCATGCTGGAGCGATTGAACCTCCTGAGAGAAGTTCTGCTCCAAGGTCTGGATGCGAATGTTGGAGTCCTTGATACTGCCGATGAGCTGCTTCATCCACGAGGGCGGGTTGTCGGGCGCCGCCTCCTGTTCATTGGCATAGCTGCTGTGGCTTCGGCGGCTCCGAGTAGAATCACGACTGTCTGGGCTCATCGAAAACCGTTCAGGCGAGCGAGCAGGACTTGAGCTTACAGAAAGCATCGTTTCTCTCGGCACCCGTCTGGACTGTGAGCGAGACCCCGACTTGCTGACACGCCTGACACCACGGACTGCATTATCTGGGGGCGGCATCGGGCTGACTGGTGTAATCCGACCCGTTGTGGTCGAAAGCGGACCTGCGAGGCACTGAAGCTCACGCAGGGGTCGAACGTGCAGAAAATGAGGCCTAACCTCGGGACGCTCGGGCCAACCCCTTGGCAGCGTCCAAGCTCGAAGCGCCAGGGCAACGTTTCGAACTTGAGCCATAATAGCTACGGATTCTGCTCACGATGTTCTGGGGGGGTGGGAGGAAGAGGAACGGAACAACCGTGTCGCATCACAGGCACACGCCTGCAACCCGTGGCATGGCAGGCAGAATGGTACCACTCTGGCTCGAAGCACATGGAGCCTTGGGTAATGGCTGCTGTTGCTCTCGTGCCCCTCCCGTCCTAGCCACAATTTCGCACGACTCCCAGCCGGATCCCGGGCCGCTACGCTGGCGCCGAAGTCTGCAAGTCCTGAATGCCGCGCCGGCCCCGGCCCCTCTCCGCGGCCGCCCTCCTCGCCGCCCCGCCTCCGAGGGGTGAATCCGGGGTGAATCTACCGTTTCGCATCTCAGCCTCGGGCAGTAGGCCCCCCCACGCCGTGGGGGGCCCCACGGCTGTCCATCAACCTGGATGGGCATCCTAGGTAGAGGAGGCGGAGGAAGAGGAGGAGGACGAGGAGGAGGAAGAGGAGGAAGAGGAGGATGGGGAGGGGGAGGAGGGGGAGGAGGAGGACGAAACTCCCGACCCCAGGTCTTATGGGGAGACCAAAAGGTATCGATACCGCTACTCCCCGGACCTCTCCCGGGGTGCGCTCTGACCAGGACTTCGAGGCGAATCCAGCGGTGGCGACGAGGGCCTCCCACGAGGCCCCAAAAAAGGGAAAACGAGGGGAGGGTAGCGGTATGGGTACCTTTTCCTCCTCAAGCCTTAGACCCCCCACGCCGTGCGATCACCGGCGCATCGGTAAAAAAATCCCTCCCGTCAGGTCGGGCATATCCCCCTACAGGCTGGTTTTAGAAGCAGAATGAAACATATCCCACACATACCCCAGAAATAATCCCAAAATGGTAGAAGCATCGTTCCCAGACTATTTCTTGACTATGTCTGAATCTTCTCCTGTAGAGGGACATGCCCGACTTAACCGTAAGCCCCCTCGCGCCTCGCAGGATCCTGCAGTACCCTGCGCCCAAACACGGCTGACCCCCGTCTGCATTGACCCCCGTCTCTTGAGCCCCGACCCTCGGCTACACGTAAGAGTGACCCTGGGTAAGAGTGACCTTTGGTGCGCGGCTTTGGGGGGGGCGCGCGGAGAGGCCAAATCCAGGCGCGCTAGCCGTTGCTGCCTCTTCGCGTTCGGCCATCTGCGGGCCCATCTGTGCCCGCACCAAGGGTCACTCCGGCGAAAGGTCACTCTGACGTCTAGTCGAGACCCCCGTTTGCATTGACCCCCGTCTCTTTTTTTAGGGCCCTCGGAGCCTCTGGGGTTCTCTTTACAAGGTGGTCGACGCCTTAGCCGAGCAGTGCAGTCACCGCCATGGCGAGGCAACGGCAACCCTATCGTTGGTAGCTCCCACCTGCCGCGCGGAGTGCCAGGCGCCCGCGGCGGCAGCGCTTCCAACCTCGGGGCCGCCATGCATTGACCCCCGTCTCTTGAGCCCCGACCCTCCAACGCCGTACGATCACCGGCGCAACGGCAACAACAAAACAGTCCCTCCCGTCCGCGGCCTTCGCGCCGAACGGGTTGCCCGGGTCCGCGGGGTGCCAGCCGCCTGGGGCGCCTCGCCGGGGCGGGAGGGGGGAAGCGCCCGCGGGCGGCGGTTGGGTGAGGGTGTCCTCCTCCTCCTCCTCCTCCTCCGGCCTCACTCGCCTCTTTCCTCCTCCTCTTCCTCCTCCTCCTCCTCCTCGTCCTCCTCCTCCTCCTCCTCCTCCTCGCTCCTCGCTCCTCGCTCCTCGCTCCTCGCGCCACATCCTCCTCCTCCTCTTCCTCCTCCTGTTGTTCCTCCTCCTCCTCCTCCTTGCTCCAAGCCTCTTTCTTCCGGCGGCACGCCCAGAGGGGGGAGGCAGAGGAGACGGGCCTTCCCAGAAGGCTCAGAAGGCGTTCGGCCTTCCAGGGAGCCTTGTGGGCCTTCCCCAAAGACACAGGAACCCCCTCAAAGGCGCGAGGGCTTCTGAGAAGCCCCGCCGCCTTCTGAGAAAGCCTTCTCCTCCTCACTTCTCCCCCTCGCCCGCCGCCGATCCAAGCGAGTGGCCGGGGGGACAGCCGCGCCTGCCCTGCGTGGCACGCGAGGGGCAGAAGGCCGTGCTGTCTGAGCCTCCTCCGAAGCCCGAGGGTTCCTCAGAAGTCTGGAGGGCGTCCAGGAAGCCCACCGGCCTCTGCGAAGGCATTACCCCTCTCACTTCCGTTCTCGGCGCGCCGCCGACCCCACTAGACACAGGAGTTGGTTCGGTGGCTTGCTCCTCCTCCTCCTCCTCCTCGCTCGCTCGCTCGCTCGCTCGCTCGCTCCCTCCCTCCCTCCCTCCCTCTCTCTCCCTCCCTCCTCCCTCCCTCCCTCCCTCCCTCCCTCCCTCCCTCCCTCCCTCCCTCCCTCCTCCTCCTCCTCCTCCTCCTCCTCCTCCTCCTCCTTTTCCTCCTCCTCCTCGCTCCACGCCGCACTCCTCCTCCACGCTCCTTGCTCCTCGCTCCTCGCTCTCGCTCCCCCTCCCCATACTCCTCCTCCTCCCTATCCTCCTCCTCCCTCCTCCTCCTCCTCCTCCTCCTCCTCCTCCTCCTCCTCCTCCTCGCTCCACGCCGCACTCGTCCGAGCACACCCAGTCGGCGCGGGCGTGACTGTGGCCAGCCCGCCAGTGGAAACAGGAAAAGGAGAGACAGAAAGAGAGAGAGAGAGAGAGCGAGAGAGAGAGGACCGAGGCAGGGGAACCATCTCCTCGTCGTGTTTCTCCTGACGCATCGCTGATTCCACCGCTGTTTAAACCAGAATTATTGTACTGGCCGTCGCGGCAGTTAAACCATTGCCTGTTAACATCCAGGCCTAGCATCACGAGTAAATCATAAGGTGGCGACCTAAGGTACACCCTTCATTCCCGGCAAATCCAGGCTCTGAAAAAGGGGAACGGTATTAAATTGAACCTCATTACGAGACATGTTAGGACCCTTCCCCAAATCCGCTGCCCAGGAAGGGTCATTCGTGTATTACCCAGGGTCCCCCAACAATAAAAGTGAACGGGTTTCCCAGAAGCTGGCAGCAGCCCCCAGGGGCTGGGTTCAAGAGCAATCGCAGGCGGGTGAAAGCTCAGAAAAGCAGCGGGTGACACGCGTCACCCCTAAAAACCGCATGAGAATTCCCCGCTTGTGTTAACGCTCCATACGAAAGAACGCATCGCAAGATATGCGCGGTCTGCGCTGCCCTCGCCTCCGCCGTGCCTCCCAAAAACCCACGACCATGGCGACAATTGCGCAGTCCGTAGCCTCCCAAGGAACCGCGAGGTCTCGGCTGGATCCGCGTGGCCCCCTACTCCGCTGGACTTCCCAGGAGCCCACGACGATGGCGACACTTGTGCAGTTCGCAGCCACCCGGGGAGCTGCGGGGAGCCCACGGAAGTGGCGACAACTGTGCAGTTCGCAGCCTCCCACAGAGGGAGCTGCGAAGCCTCGGGCACTCCCCGACTCCGCCGTGCCTCCCAGGAGCCCACGGAAGTGGCGACAATTGCGCAATTCGCAACCACCCAAGGAGCTGCGAGGTCCCGGGTACTCCCCGACTCCGCCGTGCCTCTCAGGAGCCCACGAAAGTTGTGACAATTGCGCAGTTCGCAGCCTCCTAAGGAGCTGCGAGGTCTCGGGTACTACCCGACTCCGCCGTCCCTCCCAAGAGGCCACGAAAGTGGCGACAGCTGCGCACATTGCAGCCACCCGTGGAGCAGCGCAGCAGGAGGCAGGAGGGGGGGGGAAGATGAGAGGGGTGGAGGAGAAGGAGGTGCGCGAGCGCAGCACTCTTTTCAAAACGAGAGACCAACACAAGAGGGTTGCGAAAAAAACTACTGTGAGTTTTGGATTCTGGGGGCCAGCAAGGTGTCATTGCAGCGGGAGGCATGTGTCGCCCCGGAAACCGTCTGAGAAAAGCCGTTTGCAAAATAGAGATTATGTGGGCCATGCACCCTGGGAAAAGCAGTGGGTGACATGTGGCACCCCCGTAACCGTGAGAGACAAACAAATTGTAAACTCTGGATTTGGAAAAGTTGTGTTCTGGGAGCCAACATGAGGCCAATCAGCCTCAGAAAAGCAATCGATGACACGCGTCACACCCGAAACCGTGTGAGAGTGAGAACAACAAAATGTAAAATTGGGATTATGTGAGCCAACATGGGGCCAAACAAAACCGGCGGGTGACACGTGTCATGCCACGAAACCGCTTGAAGAAGACCACTTGTGAATTCTGTGTTCTCGGAGCCAACAGAAGGTCATTTGCCCTCCGAAAAGCAGCGGGTGACACGTGTCAACCCCGAAACCGTGAGAAAAAAACGAATTGTAAATTTGAGATTCTGGGAGCCAACCTGGGGCCAATCAGCCTCATACAAAAGGCACGTGACACGCGTGACCCCTGAAACCCCGTGAGAAAGAACAAGTGGAAAGAGCATCTGCTCATCCCCCTCCTGCGGTCTACTTCTGACCCCCGCTCACGATCCCCCCTGCGCGACGACGACGAAGACGACGACTACGGCGGCCTCAGCGATGACGACGACTTCTACGACCACGTTGGCGACGACGACGACCGCCTCTCACTGATCGAAACTGTAGGCATATCCCTGGGGTGCGTCTTGACCAAAGACCCGAGAGGAAACCGGCCGTGGCGACGATGATGGGCCGATTTCCACCACCGCTACCAGAGGTAGGACGGGCGAGAAGGGAAGATGGCGAAGTCCTCCTCCTCGTCCTCCTTCTCCTCCTCCTCCATCTCCTACTGATGGTAGTGGGTAGTGGAAAACTGGCCAACCAGACGGGAAACCCGAAGGGCCCCAAGCAAGAGCGAAAACCGCCCAACCACCCCGAAGCGCCTCGAACCTCCTGGACCTCCGACGTCGCGACTTTCTCCGCACGTGGCTCCCCAAAAGCCGGGACCCCCTCCCCAGGGACCGGCTTTTCATCCCGAGCCGTGTTCGGACGGCCTCCCTCGAGGCCGAAACTTGCCGCAAACCTCCGGCGTGAATTTCCCACGACGCGAGGAGGTCTGGGCTTAGGTCGGGCATGTCCTCCTACAGGCGGATTTCGGAAGAGAAATAAAGCACTGTCCAAAAATACCCAGACATAGTCAAACGATCATGAAACATCGTTTACGAACTGTTGTTGTACTCTTCTTGACCGTTCCTCCTGTAGAGGGACATGCCCGACTTGTGTCTGGACCCAGGGGTAAGCAGTCGACCCCGAACCTGTCCAGGGGAGCGCTGAGGGCCAGAAGCTCGAGGAGGAAGCCAGCCGCGGCGACGAGGAACCTCTCCCCGAGGCCCCGAACAGGGCGGAACAACGCCACGGAGCCTCGAGCCCCGCAGCCCGAGCCCTCGGGCGCACGCTGACATGGGTTACGGTGCGGGCATTTTGTTTTTCGAAGGGGCCCAAAGACGCACAAATAAATACACACACACGCAAAAGAACAGGATTCCCCAGATTTGCCCATGTTGTTTGAGCTTGCGTCTTCCCCCCCACGTCCTTTACTTCCCCACATTTTCCGGGGAATCGACGATTCATTGTGTCTGTGTGTGTTCTTTTCGTGATGCGCCGCTGACGGCACCACCACCAGCTTTTCGCCTCCCGGTACTTCGCCTCTGTGTTCCTGTCCAAGGCGTTCCTTTGCATGCACTTCGCTTTCAGCACTGCCTGCCCCGGGGCTTTGCCCTCTCTTGGCCTTGACGTGAGGCCCCGCCTCCTTTGTTCCTTCCTCTGTTAAGTAAATAAATCAGTGCGCGGCCCGCTCAGCTTCGACCAGAAGAGGCTCGCTCTCGACCCGCGGATCAACAACAAGTGTGCTCTTCTCCCTCCTGATGCTCCTCGCTTCGCGTGCACGGGTGCACAGTGCTGGCACGAGCTCCAGCAGCAGCGGGCGTGCGGCGCCACCCGGGGACGGCCGCGCGGCCCCTCCTCCCGGCCCTGCCAGCCCCAGGGCGCGGGGGCAGGCCGCCGACGCCTCTCCCCGTGGGCGCCCGCGGCGCTCCGCCGAGGCGCGGCCGCCTCAGAGCAGTGGACATGAGGTTCTCAACGCACTTAACCCCCCCCCCCCCAAAACAAAAAAAATAAAAAAAGAAACGTTCTCAACGCACTTCTTGGGCAGGATCAGTGCCTCAGGAAGGCGCCCTCGTCCTCCACCTGACACCGGACACCTGTCTGGATGAGGAACCATTGGCGCAAGAACCAAGGGTCTGGAAGCCGGTGGAACTCCAGTCGCGGCTTGGCCACATGGATGTCACCGCCGCCCTCGACGGATCAGGAATCCCCCAGGGTCTGAAGCCTCCTCGGCACTTTCCTTGACCAACGCCACCACCGTAGGGATCCCTGGATCTGGCGCGTGGGCGCCAAATCCACGTATCGGGAGTGGTATCCTCCGAAACGTGAGGCCCATGCCGCCTCATTCGGGGACGGACCGCGCCGACGTCGCATGTGGAAACGGGGCGCGCCGCTCATCCACGCGCATTGACCCATGCTTGCGCTTCCGTGAAAGCCGACACCCGAGCGACCGACAGCGGCTTCGGACGCCAGCAATGGGTACGGAAGAAATGGGGTACCACACCAATCGGCAAAAAAGTGTTGCCCAGAACCGACAGCGGCCGCTGTTGGCCAGGCGGCCTTCTGCCTCACATGGGCAACGTCCGCTGGGACACCGACAGCGAGCCCTCTTCAGAATGAGCAAGACACGCCCTCGGCCTTCGCACCCATCTCGGGTCGGGCGAAAGGGGGGGATAGCAAAGGGGGCGTTTGAGAATCAGCTCACGTAGCTGATTTTCCCAGCGCCTCCCAGCGCCGGAAGCGGCTATGCATCGAGGAATGGGCCCCTCGGTGAAGCCGAAACCAGCTGCTTGTAGCAAATTTCGTAACGCTCCTTTTCCCAATTCCCCCCCTTTCGTCCGGCCCGACCGCCATTTCCGTGCCCAGTTTGCTCGCCCCGACTTGGAGCCCCAGCCCCGAGCAAAACCGCCGCGGAGGCCCCTGGCGCCTCCCCCGAAGGGCGACGCGCCCGGCGGCGGCTGCGCGTACCCGAGCACGTTGGCACGGCGCACGCGCTCCAGGCGCCCCGGGTCGGTCTGCGAGCCCGGCGCCTCGGCGCGGAGCGCGCGGGGAACAGGATGCGACCGCGGCGATCGCGGCAACCACGGCGACTGCCGCCGTCGCCGTCAACCATCATCATCATCATCATCATCATCATCATCATCATCATCATCATCATCATCATCATCATCATCATCATCATCATCATCATCATCATCATCATCACCATCATCATCATCATCATAAGCAGCATCATCATGATCATCATCACCAGCATCATCATCATCAACAACATCATCATCTTCAGCATCATCATCATCATCAACACCATCAGCATCATCATCAGCATCACCGTCATAATCAACAGCACCATCATCATCAGCATCACCATCATCATCGTTATCAGCATCCTCATCCTCATCTTCATCAACCACAGCAGAATCAGCAGCATCATCAGCATCATCATCATAATCAGCATCACCATCATCATCACCATCATCATCATCATCAGCACCATCATCATCATCATCATCACTATCATCATCATCGTCACTAAAATTAACATCATCCTCATCGGCAACATATTTTTCTCCTCCTCGTCGTCAACTCGGCATATTCACATTCACGTTCACGACCACTATCACCAACTGAATCACCATCATCAGCAACAACCCAATCATCATCCACACCAGCATGACCTATACCACCAAAGACGACGGAGGAGGAAACGAGAAGGATGAAGAAGAAGACGAGGCCGAACGGAACAGGGGAAGCGGCACGACGGGAGAACGACGACGGTGATGATGACGAGGACGAGGAAGACAACAACGATGACGGCGACGAAGGCGGCGACGAAGGAGACGACGAAGGCGGTGACGAGGAAGACAACGACGACGACGACGACGACGAGGACGACGACGCCGACGACGGCGGCGAAAACGACGAGGACGACGACCAGACCAGCGACGAAGAGCGCCTCCCTCTGGAGCCCCGGCGTCTCTGGCCAGGCGGGCACCGGGAGGGGCGGCTGGGGCGGCGGCGCCGCTGGCACCTGGGGAAAGGCACCCCTGGTCGTCGTCGTCGTCGTCGTCGTCGTCATCGTCGTCTTCGTCTTCGCTGTCGTCGTCGTCGTCGCCACCGACGTCGTCGCCGTCGTCGTCCGCGTCGTCATCCTTGTTTCATCTTTATCCCTTCATCCCGATCCACATCCTCATCGCCGCCCACTCCTGATCCTCATCCCCTTGGCCGCCGACCCCATCATCGTCATCCTCACCCACCGTCCCCCCTATAATTGTCCCCCTGCTCTCCTCCCTCACCTCGTCTCTCCCCGAATGTTCCCCTAGCTTCCTTCCTCTCCTTCCTTCTCTCCATCCCTTCCTGCTCCTCCTCCTCCCCCATTCGTTTCCGCTTCGCGCTCATCGCCGCACGCTAGCACCAGCGAGCGCTCGGCCCGCCGAGCCTTCCCAGTCTCGCAGCACGCCCCCTGCGACTTCGCACAGCGAAGCCATGGGATTCCCAGGCGGTGTCCCGGACAGCTTTTGGCATTGCACAGGTGCTCGTCTCGATGTCGTGCCAGACTTCCTCAACATCGCACAAACCATTTTCAGCGTTGCACCCAGTGCTTGTCGGCCTTGCCCTAATGCACACGCTAGTCAGTCGGGTATAGTTTCGTGGGCAAGCAAGTAGCACACAACCATCCGCTCTGGTTAAAACCAGCGGATCCAAAACTTTAGATGACGCGTTGCATGCGTTTTCCGATTGTACGTGCGAAAGCTCAGCATGCCGATTACGCGCGAAAGACACGGACAAATGTAATGCTTGTCTGCGTGCCGCACCCGCGCGAGTATGCGCCGCCAAGACTCTGCGTCGCATGATCAAGCTAGAGAGTCTCCACCTAGTGGTTTAGCCGCTTCCCACTGGTTTGACCACTCACCCATGTCCACAAATGAGGTATACGCCTTAGAGCCCCGCATCTTTGTCGTTAAGATTGCGCGCCGACATACAATAATGGAGGACACGTCCTTTTCAAAACGGGGCCATCGCTTGATGTCCCCCACAAAAGCATGGCCAGAAATGTAAGATAATCAGATCCAAGCGTTATACTGTGGAGGGTAAACCTTTTTCTCAGAACGGAGCGCTTGCTGGAGGCTTCCTTGAACTTGATACTCACACCACTTCGCACCCCCTACAGTTGGCGTCGCAACGCTAGCGTGCAGCACCGATCTCCGAAAAGCACTTGATCCCAATAAATGCGGCTTCCTGCATTCACGCTGTCCCCGTGTGACGATCCCCCTGCGGGGGATCTGTCATGGCACGCAATCTCCGTGCCAGGGATTCCTCGGTGCGCGCTATCCGCAAGGTGAGAGATATAGCGGGTCTTGAGCGGGCAGGCGGCGCCACATCGCACTCTGCTTAGGACGGGCATGTCCTCCTACAGGGGGATTTTGGACGAAAAATGAAAAATAGGCCAACAAATATCCAAATATAGCCGAAACATATCGAAACATCGTCCCCAGGCAATTGTTTGACTATTTTTAAACATCCCTCCTGTGGAGGGACAGGCCCGACTGAACACTCTACCTTTGCAACGCCAACCGTATAGCCAGACGGATGCGGGGCAGCTCGTTCCTCCACACGGGGGCTCTTGCCTGCATGCCATCATGTCCCCGGGGCACGCGCCTCTCTCGAAAAAATTGCTCCCCGCACTCGGACGGGATGCCAGCAACTACTCTGGGGACAGGGGTCCTGGGCCGGCAGGGCGCATTGCAACCTCGTTGGTGCATCCTGGGCTGCCTCCTGGCATCAGCATGCAGTTCCGGAGGACGGCGCGGACTTCTGGGATCTACGCGGGACCTCCCCTTGGCGGCGCCCCTGGCACGCTGCGCGTTCCGCCCCCCTCCCCGGCGCCGACCTCCGAAAGTGTACGCGTACGCAAATGGTTATTACTCGACACTGCCCTCTCCGCCCTGGACCTGGACGCAGGATGTGCCCAAGCGCGAATCACATACGAGCTCCTCTCTTCGGCCTCGTCCTCCTCCTCATCCACCGTCCCCTTCCTTTTTCCCCTCCTGACCTCCTCTCCATCCTAACCTCCTCCACACCTCCATTCCTTATCCTTATGTATATATAGATATATGTGTATCTATATATATATATATATAGATATAACTCCTCCGTGTCGCACCCCGCGGACCGTCGAAAGGGCGGCTGGGCGTTTTGCGTTCGATTTCCCCACCGCTTATGACTCTGAAGAAAAAATCTGACAACAATTTCATGGATTGATGGCGGGTCGTTTGCAAAGTTTGGCTCTTGCCGTAGCACCGCGCACATTCGCTTTAAAACAATGTGCAAGAGCTTCACGGAGTGAGGGCGGGTCGTTTTCAAAATGAGGTTTTCGCCTTAGCGCCGCGCACAGTTGTTTACAAGTGTGCGAAAGCTTTACGGATTGCGGGCCGTTTCGAACATGTGCCTCTCGCGCGCCGCGCACAACGGTTTTTCAACATTTGCCAAGAGAGCCTCACGGATCGAGGGCGGGTCAATTTCAATGTGTGGCTCTCGCCTTAGCGCCGCGGTCATTCGTTTTTTTTTATTTGCAAGAGCTTCACGGATTGAGGGCGGTTCGTTTTCAAAAATGTGGCTCTCGCCTCAAAGGCGCACATTCGTCCTAAACATCTGTGAGAGTTTCACAGATTCCCATGGTCTGGTCCTCGAAAGGACTCAGGATTGCGAGGGCGCAACAGTTTCGCTGACCCGCGGTGTTGAAGTTCCAGGAATGGCATTATGACAGAATTTCAGATCGTCAACACGCAACAGTCATGTTGATTCGTGGCGTTTGAATCCCGAAGATGGTGCTTTCGCACGCTTCAGGGTCTTCAAACGGTTCTCTTCCAGCGAAGCAGCTCCCTCAGTAGAAATGAATCCTCGTAGTATGAAGCGAGCTTGAAGGGATGGTGTATCCTAACATCGTTGATGAGCCTTGGGTTTCGACGGGTCCTCTTCACGCCACTGCTCCAACAATAATTATTTTCACCATGGTTACCCGCTTTGTTTCACTACGTGTGTTTCGTCGTGCCATTCACCGTCAACTATCATGGACAATGCTTCTGAAAGGGCAAGTGGGGAAACGCGAAGCGTGACGAAATTGTTCTCAAAATGGGGCATTCGCCTTGGCGCCGCACATGTTGATCTCAAGCGTCCTCATGTTGCACACGATTTAGCGCTGCGCACACCCGTCTCAAAACATGCAGCGGTCTCAAGGATGGGGTGTAGGTCATGCTCAACATGCGGAGCTCGCGTTGGCGCCACGCGCGTTGGCATTGAATACCTGAAACAGCTTCAAGGATGGAGGCTCCGTTTCGAAATGTGCCTCTCCCATTAGCGCCACGAACATCCAGCTTGATAGTCAGCACCAACTTCACGGATGGAGGGGTCACTGTTCAAAACGCGGTTCTGGCCTGGGCTCCGCGCACATTCCTTTGAGAGTCTGCAGCCGCTGCAGGGATGGAAGAGGGCAAGTTTAAACATGCGGTTCTAGCCATAGCGCCGCGAGTACTCTTTTGAGCATGGCGCAATCGATTCGCGGATGGAGGGCGGATGTATAACTGGGTGTTTTGTTTGTCTTAGCGACGCGCACAAATATCTCCAAACCCTGAAATAACTTCAACGGTTAAGCACTGGTCGTTTTCAAAATGGGGTTCTCGCCTTCGCGCCGCGAGCTTTCGTTTTCTGTTTTCGCGCAACGTTGAAAACGATGAAGGGCTGCTCTGTGTCAGCCTCACGGGCGCTCACTTCGCAAACACGAAACTTCCACACATATGTAGCACTTCACGGGTCCAGGGCGACTCCTTTTCGAAATGGTACTGTCGCTTGAATCCCCTCGCGCTTTAAACCTGTACAGCAACTACACGAATGGGGGCGGTCCTTCTTCGAAGAGGGGGTCTCGCCGAACACCTCGTTGAACTGTATGATCATAATTCGTCGCGTTCCTGGTTACGTGCCAGATAGACGCATGGCAATTCCTTTTCAGAGCGGGGCCCACGCCAAACTGGCAGGCCCAATCGAGCCGGTTATCCAGGTGGCTGCTCATGGCACGGCCCAACCACCTGAGTGAACTGCTGCTGCCGACAACCCGTCGGGCTGAGCTGGCCGCAGGCTCCACCTGGGCACCTGGTTTGTCTGTCGGCGGGCGTGGCTTCCACCTGCTCGCGTCGCGAAAGAACAGCGGCGTTCGCCTGTCGGTGGGCGCGGCTCCCGCCTGGTTTCCTCTCGCGTGTCGGTGGGTGCGGCTTCCACCTGGAATGGCAAGCTCCTTCCTGCCTTGCTTTCGCCTGTCGGTGGTAGTGGCTTCCACCTGGCCTTCGCCTGTCGGTGGGTGTGGCGTCCACCTGTTCCCAACTGTTTGGACACGAAGGTTGTGATACGTTACTCGCATACTAATCAACACCCTTGAATGATCCTCTCCCTTGTTTTTCCTCCGCCTCCTCCCCTCCCACCCGGTTTCCTCCTCCTCCTCCTCCTCCTCCCCCTCCTCCTCCTCCTCCTCCTCCTCCTCCTCCTCCCCCTCCTCGTCTTCCTCCTCCTCCTCCTCGTCCTCCTCCTCCCTCTCCTCGTGCTCCTCCTCCTCCTCCTCCTCCTCCTCCAACCTCAACAATTACACAATATGAATTTTACTCTCCTCTCTCCATGGACTATGTCCAGAAGATGTTCGGCCCCCCTCCGCGCACTGTTTTTCAAATACAATATTCCGCCGATGAGGTATGTCAGGTGTTTTTACACATCCGTTTCTTCCTGGTCCTCCACAAAATTGTTCCCGCTGCAGCGCTGGCCGCATTTTCGGGCTTCTGCTCGGCTCCCGCTGCAATGTTGGCCTCGTTTCCGCGTTCCCGGTCGTTCCGATTCGTGCTCCCGCTGCAGCGCTGGCCTAATTTCCGCGCTTCTGCTCGTTCTGAATCGTGCTCCCGCTGCAGCGCTGGCCTCATGTCCAATGCCATGCCATGGCACGCAATGCAATGTTATGGTGTGTTCCGCTGTGCGATGCCATGCCTTCAGCTGCAATGCTATGATATGCCATGTTTGACTACGCAGTGCCGCGCCATGCTAGACCGTGCTACGCATTGATCTTCAACGCCATGCACTGCTACGCCATGCTGCGACATCCGGCTGCGCGAACAGAGAGGAGATCCACGCCATGGCAAAGGGATGGGAGAGAGGGGTAGGCCGTCAGATAAGACGCCTGCGCACCTAGCTTTAAGTCGGGCGTGTCCCCCTACAGGGGGAGTGTCGGCGAAAAATAAAAACATACTCGAAAAATGCCCCCCAGATGGCCCAAAAAATACTCAAACAATAGTCCTCAGACCATCTTTACCTATTTTTGAAGACTCCCCCTGTGGAGGGACAGGCCCCACTTAACCTAGCTTGCCCCCACCCCTCCCCCTCCTGCAGCGTAGCCCAGAGGGGGCGCTCGAGGCCATGGGCCGGCGGCGGGGCACCGTGCCGGCTGCCACCTGCTTAGTGGGGAAAGGTCTTGAAAGGGGCCCTGGGACACACACACACACACACATAAATACACACAAAGAACAGGATACCCCATAGTTTTCCACATTTTCTGGGTGTTTATCCTCCCTCCCACTTCTCATGGTTTCCCATATTTTCTCGGGAGTCGACGATTAATTGTGTCTGTCTGTGTTTCTTTCCCTCCTGAAACTTGGGCCTCTATCTCTGTCAGAGGGCGATTGCGGCCATGGGCCACGGAACGAATGGCATGGTTACTGGATGCCTGGAAATGGGCACCAACACCAACACATGGGTTTGCCTCCGCAGGGAGAAGATGATCCTAGATTTCGGTGTCGGTGGTAATATGTCGGTCACCTCGGAGGCCAAAATATGACCGCCATCGCCGAGATCGGGAGCCTCTTCCCTCGGTGGAAGCCGCCGATGTTGGTGCTGGTGTCAACCTCTAGTCCTGCGACTGTTAAAGAAGTATCCGACGAGCCGTTCCCCTGACTGACTGACTCGTGGCGGACGGTAGGTTATCCTTGCAGCCACCTTTCCTGCCCCGTCCCACGGCTTCACCCGGTGGGGCGGGGGGGCGCATTCGGGAAAAGGTGAGAACGACGCGAAGATGCGAGAACAAACGAAGCGATAGCGGTGGAAGATGGTGGGAGCAACGACGTGTGGAGAGCATCGCGCGATCACCACCAACGACGAGGTAGGAGAAGGGGGGGGGGGGGCGCCCGAGGTGAGACAGCACGCGAGGCAGAGGACCCGAGGCCGCCCCCCTCCCCCCTCGCTCCTCCCCCCCCCTCTCGATCGCCTGGACGACCGACGGGAAGTGCCCCGAGTTCGCGCCCTCGCCCGTGCCCGCCGTGGGCCTCGCGCGCACTTCTTGGGCGCGCGCGCGCGCCGCCGCGGGGGGCAGGCGCCCGGGGCGGAGGAGGGGCCGCTCGGTGCACGAACCATGCGCTGCACTCGGTTCACGTGCCAATTTCCCTCGCCCCCTTCGCTGCCCTCGCTCCTCCTCGTGCTCCTCTCCTCCCCCTCCTTTTTGTGCAGCCCCTCTCCCCAGGAACATGTCTCTCCTCCCTGCGTGGGGAGAGGTGGGACACCGGCCCCGCTGCTGAGGTTGCCGCAGCAATGCGGGGCCAAGTCCGACATAGCGCACCGCATATTCGTCCTACAAATTTGCAACACATTCAAGGATGGAGGCGCACTTCTCAAAATGTGGCTATGTCCTTTGCGCCGCGCATATTCGCCGTGAAAGTTCGCAACATATTCAATGATGGAGGAGGTAGTGTTCAAACTGTGGCTCTGCCACTTGCATCGCGCACATTCGTCTTGCAAATGTGGAGCAAATTATTAGATGGCGAGGGGCAATTTTCAGAATGTGGCTCTGCCCTTTGCGTCGCGCGCATTCGCCGAAAAAGTTCGCAGCAGGTTCAAGGATGGATGAAATAATGTTCAAACTGTGGCTCTGCCCTATAGGCCGCGCGCACTCGTCTAAAAACATGTCACTGTTTTACACTTGGATGGGCAGTTTCAAAATTTGGTTGACGCCTTAGTGCCGCGCACATTTGTCTTGAAAGGCTGCATCAGCTAAACAGGTGGAAGGGGGGGCTCTGTTTCTCCGAACCATCCATCATGTGGTGTTGGGTCCTCGCTTTGAAGAAACGACGCCCCGCGTCTTCTCCGCGTCTTCTTCCTCCTCTCCTCCCCCTCCCCCCTCTTCCCCTCCCCCCCTGTGCCCTTCAAGTCTTCACTTCGGCACATCCCTCACACGTTCCGAGGCTCACACGGGGCTCCACCGGAGGCGACATTCACAACAGCGGCACTCATAACTGCATATGGTCGGGTCCTTCGCCAAGATCTGTTCTATGAGGTGCTCGCCTTGACGCCGCGCACATGGGACAACGCCACCTTGGATCAAATAGTGCCGTTCGCATGCGTCCCCGCCACCCATCTCGGCACACCCCATCACACGTTTCGTGTCCCCACAGGGTGGCCAACCCAACGGTTCCAAGGGTGCCGTTCGCACACGCCCCCGACACCCATGTCGGCACACCCCTCACGCGTTCGGTGGCCCCCTCGGGAGCTCCACCGAAGGCCCCACTGGTGCCGTTCGAACGCGTCGCGCCACCCATGTCGTGCCCCAAATGTGCCGTCCGCATGAGCCCCGCCACACACTCCGCCACACCCCTCACACGCTTCGCGGCCCCATGTGGAGTCCTGCCTGAGGCCCCAAAGATGCCGTTCGCACGCGTCCCCGCCACTAGTTTCGACACACCCCTCACACGTTTCGTGGAACCCTGCGCGCTCCACCTGAGGCCCCAGTGGTGCTATTCGCACGCGACCCCGCTACGGATTTCAGCACATCCCTCACACGCTTCGGGGCCCAGAGGGAGCTCCACCCCAGGCCCCAATGGTGCCGGTCGCACGCGCTCCGGCCACCCATGTCGGCACACCCCTCACACATGTCGTGGCTCCTAAGGCCCCAATGGTGCCGTTCGAACGCGTCCCGCCACTCATGCCAGAACACCCCTCACACGTCTCGTGGCCCTATATCGAGCTCCACCCAAAGCCCCAGAAGAGTCTCTCGCATGCGTCCCCCGCAACCGTCAGATGGAGGAGGAGGAGGAGGAGGAGGAGAAGGAGGAGGAGGAGGAGGAGAGAGAGGGAAGGAGGGAGGGAGGGAGGGAGGGAGGGAGCAAGGCGCGAGAGGGAAGGAAATGCGTCCCCCTCACACCGTCAGATCCCTCACACGTTTGGCGGCCCAAACTGGAGCTCAACAGAAGGCCCCAATGACAGTGCCCGCACGTGCTCCGCGCTACTGCGGCACACCCCTCGCACGTGTCGTGGCCCATACGGAGCTCCACCGAAGATGAGACTCACAACCGCGGCACTCACAACCGCATGTGCATGGGTCCTTCGCAGAGATATGTGCTGCGTGGCGCTCGCATTAGCGCCGCGCACGTTCATCTTAA